TCACTGGCGACAGGCCCGTCGCTGCCATGCAGAGAGTGTGTCTCGCGGCGATTAGCTGCGCCCCCCTCGTGCGCTGATGTTCTCGGCGTGCAGCTGCTATTATGTCACTTGGATGTCCAATCATAGATGGGGCTCCTGCAGGCGCACTCTGCTGGCTCACACTTTGTATACTGCATCGCACTCGTGGGGATCAGGTGCGAGAAGGATGGCCTCTGGCAGCAGGCCCGTTGCTGCCCGACGACGACGACCGCGACTCCGACGACGTCGACGCCGACGCCGACCACGGCTCCAACGACGACAGAAACGACCTCGACGCCTAAAGAGGGCGACGACGACGAACACAGTGTGGACTCTGCGACTGCAGTGTGAAGGTTGGCGTGACCCGCGGGTTCTCCTGTTGCTTGCATCCTGGCGCCGGGCTCCCTTGTGGGCCGATGCTGGTCCCGGGTCCGCCCTCTGTGGTTCTGGTACTCTTGCATCCCGCTTCCGTCGGTCAGCGGGGTCGCCTACAGAGTTCAGCGGCCACTGGCTGCGCCCCCTCTTCCTTATCATTCACAATGTCTCTGCGGCTCTTGGCTGCGCCCCCCACCGGACTCATTCGCGATGACTCTGCGGCTCTTGGCTGCGCCCCCCATCCTGTTCGCCAAGATTGCACCAATCGCTGCGCGTCAGGCAACTGGGCACACCCCCCGCGCCCCGGGCTGTGGTGGTGCTCCCTCCTCCTCCTCCTCCTCCTCCTCCTCCTCCTCCTCTTCCTCCTCCTCCTCCTCCTCCCCCTCCTCCTCCGCTTCCTCATTCATTCACCATGTCTCTGCGGCTTTTGGCTGCGCCCCCCCCGTGCGAAAATTGCCGCGGCCGCAGAGGTGCGCTTGCCCTGAGACCAGCCCAGGGTGCTTCGGTCCCTCGTTGTCGATTCCGCTTTTGTTCCACAAGGGCGCCTTGGCACGGCAGCTGTGGTCAAGAAGTTCCGTGCATGGAGGCCCAGGGTCGCACTATCTGTGTCCAGCGGCTTTTGGCTGCGCCCCCATCCTCTCATTCACCTGTCTCTGCGGCTTTCGGCTGCGCCCCCCTTATTTCAACAGCATAGATTGCACTGAGTGGTACAGCCTTCCGCGGTCCATGCTCGTTCGCTCTTCTCGGCGCAGCCACGAGCGTGGAGAGGGTATTTGCGACGAGGGGCGTGGAGTCATCTTCGGCTTCTACTGCGGCGCTGCGCAGTGTGGCCGCAAGATGTTCCTCTGCGCCGACTGGAAGCATGTGCCGCCAGCACCGACGACGGAACCGACTGCGACGCCTGACCCGACTCCGACTGCGACGCCAGCGCCGACGACGGAGCCGTTGACGACGCCTGATCCGACTCCGACTGCGACGCCAGCGCCGACGACAGAGCCGACTGCCTGAGCCGGCTCCGACTGCGACGCCAGCGCCGACGACGGAGCCGACGGCGACGCGTAATCCGACTCCGACTGCGACGCAAGCGCCGACGACGGAGCCGACTGCGACGCCTGATCCGGCATCGACTGCGACGCCAGCGCCGACGACGGAGCCGACGGCGACGCCCAATCCGACTCCGACATGCTCAGTCTGCGTGTCGCCGGGGCTCGTGTGCGGAGACGACGGCTGCGGTGACTCGTGCGGCCAGTGCTCGTCGCCAGAGTACTGCACGGGCAGCGTGGCAGGTGTGGTTGGGTGCAGCTGTCAGCCATCTACTCGGTGTCTCGGTGTTTGGCTTCGTCAAGTGAGCGACCCTGCGTTGAGCGGTTCAGCCTTCTGCAGTTCGTGGTCGCTCTCTTCTGAACAGCCCCGGCCACCAGCCCTCGTCAGTACTTTGCATCGTTGTGCCCCCGAACTGCGAGTCGCATGCGATGCGCATGCACAGGCTACCGGCTGGAGGTGGCTCAGCCTCGTGAGCGCACACCAGTGGTCTTTCTCTACTGGATGGCGCTCTGACGTGTTCTAGCCACACCTCTGCAAGTGAATGGCCCTGCACTGAGTGGTTCAGCCTTCTGCAGTTCGTGGTCGCTCTCCTCAGAGCAGCCCCGGCTACCTGCCCTCGTCAGTACCGTGCATCGTGGCGCCCCCGATCTGCGTGTGTCGGAGACGATGTGCTCGTATTGGCTACTGGCTGGAGGTGGCCCAGCCTCGCGAATGCACACCTGTGGTCTTTCTCGGCTGGATGGCGCTCTGCCGCGGCTCAGCCCTTTAGCTTCAGTGAGCCTTCATGAGACAGGCCTCTTCCGCCGCACCTCGTTCACCCGGGGTGCTGCTGTGTGTCTGAGTTCGTCGCTCGCGCTCGCTTTCTTCCCCCTCTCCTGCATCGTGCCCCGCTTCGTTCCTTCCCCCCTCTCTTGCTCCCGCTTGTGGTTCGGCTGGAGCTTCACCTGTGCCGCTGGGTGCCTTTGTGGCGTCCCAGGAAAACAGGCGGGTTGGCAGCCCGATCGTCTCCACAGCTCGACAGGGCTGTGGGAGAGACTCTTGCCCTGTGGTTGGCCAGCCACAG